TTGCTTCAACACAGAAAAAAAAAAAAACAAAGGCACACTTGCAGAAGCAAAACTAAGCAAAGAAACAAATAATTGTAATATAAACTTGCTTCAATACTGAAAATAAAAAAAAGAAACAGAGGCACACTTGCAGAAGCAAAACCAAGCAAAGAAACAAATAATTGTACCATAAACTTGGTTCAATACAAAAAAAAAAAAAAAATAGAAATAGAGGCGTGCTTGCAGAAGCATAACCAAGCAAAGAAAAAAAATTGTAATATAAATTTGCTTCAATACAGAAAAAAAAAAAATAGAAACAAAGGCGCACTTGCAAAAGCAAAACCAAGCAAAGAAAAAAAATTGTAATATAAACTTGCTTCAATACCAAAAAAAAAAAAATTACAACATGCTTTCGTGTCTTTCTATTTCTAATTCCAACTTTTTGTTCTGGTGTCCAAAAAAAAAGAAAAAAGAAAAAAGGGAGAGACAGCACTGGCAGAAGTAGAACCAAGCCAAAAAATATATATATAAAATGCTTAATCGCTGTCCAGTAAAATCAGTGCTTACTTGAAAGATTACCTAAAATTGGAGATGATATGGTGTACAGATCAGTGATGAATTGCAGTCCAGTAACTCCAGTTACAGGAGGTGTGAAAGGGTAAGCTCTGTGAGAGTTGTCTTGCATTCTTCCTATGACCGATGGGGACTAAGAGGAGACCAGATGTTGTGCAAAGTGTAGAGGAGAGTCGAGAGGAGAGTTGGGAGGAGAAAAGTCAGAAAAGAGTTGAGAGGAGAGTTGGGAGGAGAAGAGTCGGAAGACCAGATGTGCGCGGGACAAGACCAAAGGCGATGAGGTTTTTTAGCTTTTAGGGTTTTCTTTCTTTAATTTATAAATAGAAAAGTTGGAAAGACATAATTAACCTTAAAAATTTTTAACTTAAACTTTAGATATGGGGTTAACATGGTAATTTGATCAAAATAATCAAAGAAAATTACATAGCCGCTGCTATGCACGCTATCCACTATTTGTATTGCAGCCGCTATTAGCGGCAATAGCAGCCGCTATTGAAGAAACGCTACGCTATGAAAATTTGTCATAGCGGCTTAGCTGGCCGCTACGCTATGCCGCTATAGCGGCCGCTATGGCCGCTATTGACAACACTGGTTATGAAATCAATTTCATAGCCTAATAGACTTCATAATTCCCTATCTTCAAAAGTTATAGGCCTCTCCTCATCTAGGCCCATGGTTTATAAACCCAAAAGCCTCCCTTCAGGGCCCTCACCCGAGAGGCACTATCTAATCAAGCTACTACCCTTAAACCACCAAATAAGTCCAATCCCATTTGTCATATGGAATGTGATCTTAATCGTCTTTTTTCACTCACGAAACCATCTAATAACCCTAATTCCCACTCCCTTAGCCTCATTATTGCTACCTCTATGTTTCACTAATATTTGCTTATGAGAGATTTTCTTAGAATCCAATGGAGAACTAATGACCCTAAACCAAGCTCGAATGCAAATGCTTCAAGAGATGTCGTTGCATCTACCTTGATGGTTGGAACCTAGAATATTTGCAGTATGGAGAAGTCTACTGGTGGTTAAAGAACTGTGTTATCTAAATAATCTCCTACATTTCCTAAGTCAACAAGTAAACAATCTTCCATTCCAAAATCATCAATGTAGAGTTTAGGAGCTCATGTCTACTAAAAATAGCATTGGGCTAAAGGAGATTATCACCCTCTTTTACCACTAAAATTGACAGCTCTACCCTATGTTAGCCATATTCACTCGATCCTTTTTCAGGGACATATGGAGAACATACACCTCCATTGTTGATGGTTTATCATAATGGAAGCGAGGGATCATCTGGAATATTAGATTTTGTTTCTCCCATACCATTTTCCACAACCAATCATGATGTGGGAACTATTGAATATTCCAGCCCCTGTCTTCTAGTAATCCTTGACGAAGAAGCTATTGAGGCCAACAAACCCTTCTAACTAGACTATGAAGATGATTTCTTAGAATTGTCAAGGAACAACTAAACAAAGCTTGCACTCTAGTATTATGGATTTATAAAGATTACACAATCTCATCATATTAAAGCTGCTACTCGGCTAAAGTTGCTCAGCTGAGCTTCTCAAACTTTCACATTGTTGACTTTGATGGCTTGGCAAGAGGACTTTGGCTACTTTGGAATGATGTTGATGTCACTATTGATGTACTCGTCACCAACCCACAAGCTATCCATTATTAAGGTAATCAATCATCCTCTTCTTGCTTCTAATATTTGGTTTTTATTTTGTATTTATGGTAGCCTATTCTTGAGACTTGCCCTTTGTTTTGGTAAGAATTATGCAAAGTTTCAAAATCTTTTTGGATCCTTGGGTTATCATAGGAGATTTTAACAATGTGGTTAATCAATCAGAAAATTTTGGTGGTGAAATTATCTACCAAAATAGGGTTCAAGCTTACTTGCATTGTATGAATGAGTGCAGTATGCAAGATTTGGGATATGTTGGTTCCAAATTTACTTCGATTAACATGAGATTTAATGATCTATTGATTAGAGACCATCTTGATAGAGCTTGGATTAACCATGATTAAAGGTTTCTTTTTCTCGAAGCCACTCTGATCATCATTTTATCATGCTCAATTTGTGGCCTAATCTTCCTCTTAAAGGAGTCATACCATTACACTTAGAGAAATTGTGGCTCGACCATCCATAATTTTAACTGGTCAATTCTCTTATTTGGACCCAAAACTCTAGTTATTGCATTAAATCTATTGAACTCACATCCTCTATTGTCAAACAATGGAGCAAAGTGATGTTTGACAATATTTTTGAGGAAAAGAATACCATTCTCAGAAGACTTAACAATATTCATAGATTCCCCACCTTCAATTATAGCTATTTTCTTATTTAACTTGAGAAGGATCTCTCTTAAGCTTATGAGAAACTTTTCAAACTTGAAGATGATTTATGGTTTATGAAATTTAGAGCAAATTGGTTATCCGATGGTGATAGAAATTCAAAATTCTTCCACCTATCTCCTATTTACCATTGGGCCCACAATAATATTCTTGGTTTAAAGGATCCCAGTGATAATTGGATCTTTGATCCTATGTAGCTTGAGAGTTTGGTTGTTGAATATTTTACTTCTCTATTTACCACTTCCCAAAATCACTTTTACTAGCACTTTTTCTCCTTTGTGGGGATTAGTCTCACAATGCAGCATTTGAATTCCATGGAGGGAATTCTTATTGACTTTGAGATTTTATCTACTTTCTAGTCTCTCAAACCTTTCAAGGCTCTTAGACCTAATGATATTCATTCCATGTTCTTCCAAAGGTTTTGGAATGTGACTAAAGATCAGCCATGTTTTATTATTAAGCATATCTTCTTCTCAGGCACCATGCTTATAGCCTAGAACAAGACCTTTGTCACTTTTATCCCCAAGAATAAGTCTCCTATTACTGTCAAGAAGTTTAAACCCATTGTGCTATGTAACACCAGCTACAAGATGGTCTCAAAAATTTTGGTGGCTCGTATGATACCCTGGATGGATAAAATCATCTTTCCTTTTCAAGCCAACTTTGTGCCTGGTCGTCAAGGGAGTGATAATGTTATTATCTTTCAAAAATTTGTTCACTCTTATGCTAGAAAGATGGGCAAACAGAGGGATTTCATTGTCAAACTTTATCTAGAAAAAACCTATGATAGATTAGAGTGGAGCTTTATCCATGAAGCCCTCTATTTTTTTATTTTCCTTCCTTTTGTTGTATCATTAAACTCATTATGTCTAGCATTAGTAGCTCTTTCATTTTCATTCTTGTTAATGGTAATCAGTTGAAATTCATCTATCCTTCGAAGGGCATTCGACAAGGGGTCCCTTCAACCCTTACCTTTTTATTTTATGTATGGAATTCCTTACTTTAAAAATCTCTACTGACATGGACTTTAGGGTCTACAAAGGGTCTAAGGCTAGTAAATTGCAACTACATTATCTCTCTTCTAGACCTATTTTGCTTTAGATTAGGCCAAAAAATCAACCACAACAAATCCCATGTTTTGTTCTCTATTGACATTGATTCTACTACTTGAGATACTTTATTTGCCATTCTAGGTGTTTCTTACACTACTAATTTGTGGATGTATCTTGGTGTTCCTATTTCTTCTAAGAAACTCAATAAGAATCAATGCTAGTTTATTATTGATAAAGTTCATAAGAAACTTGCTAATTGGAAGACTAATTTCCTTTCTTTTATAGGATACATCACGCTGACTAAGGTTGTCTTGGAATCTATCCCAAGCTACTATATGCAATCCTTTTTCCTTCTGGCCTTAGTTCATTCTAAACTTGATCAAATCTCTAGAAACTTTATTTTGGGGCTTGAATGAGCAATAGAAAAAAATCCATCTTATTAATTGGGATATTATTTGCTAACCTAAATACCTTGGTGGTCTTGGCTTGAAGAATTCTCATGCTACCAATGTTATATCCATATGTAAACTTAATTGGCATCTACACTCGAATAAAGATAAATGTTAGACCAAGCTCTTTTGCTTCAAATACTCTATTGTTAATCCTTCTGATTCCTTACATACCACTAGTTCTCTAATGCTCAAAGCTATCAATCAAGGTCATCAATTCTTTCATAAAGGATTAAAAATAGATCCCCAAGAATGGTGACTCTATCCAAAATTTTAGAGTGAATGTTGGTGTGGCAGCCAACCTCTATCCAAAATTTTTTATAAGCATTACCCTCTTTTTATTGATTCCATTCTTCTTTCAAATGTGCTACAAGTTGGTACCATTAATATCGTTTCTTACATCCTTCCCTAAGAGATATCGAGTTGATGCAAGCCATCCTTATTGCTACACTGGTCTTAGCTCCTAATGCTTTTACTTGGATTGGTAGCTTTAAAGGCAACTTCTTTGCTTCCTTTACCTATTGCTTGTTAGAAGACCTTCCTCTCACGAAGGATAATTCTTGGTGTTGGTTTTGGAAGTTGTGTACTTTACAAAAAATCCATTCCTTCATTTGATTTCTCTCCCATAGGAGGTTGAAGTCTTTGAAATTCTTGTACTATATTAACATCTCTCAATCTCCTACTTGTCCACGGTGCCATAATAGCGTCAAGACTATTGATCATATCTTTAGGGACTGCACTTCTTCTATTTTGTTTTGAGACTATTTTTGCCTAAAGTGGTGATTTTTAGGGACTCTTCATCCTTTCTTACTAGGCATAAGTCTAATATGAGTTCCACTACTTAACCCATATTTTTTCTATTCCTTGGGGTATTGTCTTTTCCTTTGTTTTATGGGGCATTTGGATTTGTAGAAATCATGTTCTCTACAAAGATGCTAATGCATCAACCCAAGCATATATGTTGTCTACTACCTTCAACATCTCGAACTTCTGGGCGACTCACTTTGACCCTAATCTCACTTCTACAAGATCTTGTGTTATGTTTGCTTGGTCCAAACCTCCACATGGTTTTCTCAAACTCAATACTGATAGTACTTTCACTAGGAATCCTAGTATGGCTGGTGCTAATGAACTTTTTCAAGATCATCTCAATAATTGGATACTTGGTTTTTCTCGAAAAATAGACATCACTACATCCCTTGCTATTGAACTCTAAGCTATTAGAGATGGTTTGCTTATTATTGTCTAGTAGGGGTTCACTAATTTGATCATCAAAACTAACTCTCAAATTGCTTTTTCAATGATTTTTACTAATTACTCTCCCTACCATTATCCCAACACCCTCATTTTAGATTATTAGGAACTCCTTAATCAAATTGAGCATGTTCGCCTTATCCATGTTGTTAGGGAGTGTAACATAAGTGCAAATTTTCTTGCTAAGCTGGGAAGCTCTCCAACTTCCCCTTTTTGTATTTTTATAAATTGTCCTCCCTATGTTGCTTTCTTTTGCTATGTTGATGCTTATGGGGTTCATTTTGATCACCCTTGTTATGTACTTTATGTGCTCTTTCAATAATTTTATTACCTTTATTTACCAAAAAAAATAAAAAGGGAAAAATATAATAAGAACTTAAATTTATTCTAGGTCAAAGTGCTTATAATAATAGAAGTTTCAAATCCTAGAATGAAATCCTCTAAAATCTTAGATCTAAAATTTATCAGTGTTCATATAAATTGCAATGTTTTTGTACCCGGCCCGGTGGTTGACCCGTTTTGGCCACCGGGTCTGGTTCAACCGGTTGAACCAGTTCACCCGACCGGTTCAACCGGTTGACTAAAGACCTTTTTTTTTTTTTCACATTTTTACACCCGA